ACAGGCGTGACAGCTCGTAGTATAGGCAGATAATATTGTCAGCAACGACACCAAGGAGTGTCAATAGCCTTCGACCTAACTTGGCATGACAACGAGCTCAAGTTCGGGTGGGACACGACTTAGGTGTGAATATCACTGGTTGACGACGGCTAACAAGTTAGAAATGGCCCTCCAGTCCTCTTTGTCTTTGCCAACAATACTAGCTGCCTATACTTTTTATATAATGCGTTGGACAGACTTTTTTTCCACGGAGTTAACAGTCGTGAAGTTGGCGCAGAAGCACTGGCATGAAGGAGCTATAGTCGTCAGGTCTGCCCTGGGGCCCTTCGTTTCCTTAGACATGAAAATGCGAAAGAACAGTGAGTGAGGAGAGAGGAGGAGAGGCAACTCACCTTTAAGCGCCTTGTTGCCCCTGAAGGCCCCACAGCCCCAATGACCGCTCACAACAATGGCAGGCAGGGAACGGTAGGGAGCGGCGATGTCGGTGAAACCAGCGTAAGCCTTGAGGAGGGAAAAATCAAGAACCACATGACGGATACAAAAAAAAATATCAAAAGATAGGTTGGCGAGCATAAAGTCATTAATATTCCCGATCAAAAGTGGCAAGAAAACGAACTCAGTGGTTAGTGTTTGACCTCTAGTCAACAGGTTGAGGATACGATCCCCAGAGGATTTCAACGCCTGGGGCTGGGTATGAATGGCTAATATGTCAGACATGATTATTCCCTTTTGTGTGTGTGTGTGTGTGTGTTATAATCTGCCTAGGTTGGTTGGCATTGTCGGTCACTGTGCTTGATGCTGTCATCACCCGTTTTCTTGACTCTTTCTTGAGGGACATAAACGGTTGAGTAGGATGTAGTCCACTTCTGCGAGGCTCAATCGTTGTATTTTGATCACCAGTGACTCACCCTGCAGCGTCGCCAACAGTCGGAAAGCTGCTATTAGTATAGGCAGGGAAACCGGAATGACCATTTCGGACTTATCGGTCAGCGCCTTTGCATCAATGAGAATACCTATCGATCTAAGCTGGCAAGACGAGTCCGTGGCTCCAAGTCTCGGGCCGCCATTGGACTACTAAACAACATGCTGCGGGGAGGGGGGAGGTCAAACCTATGATGGCGCAAGACCTATGATTGGTTATGACTGGCTGATGACGACTAATAAGCCCGGAATGGCATTTCTAGTTTCCGTCGGGAATGTTCTCCTGCCAGTGTGCGTGCTTGTGTACACCGTTGAGTCCTGCTTCCAGGGCTTTACACGACGAGCTCGGTACCAGAACGAACGAAACCTTTTAAGTGAGGTTTCATTGTAGTCCCTATTGAAGCAATAATTATCGGCAGTATCTGGCATGCAGAGTAAACTAACCTTGCGCAATTCCCGTCGAAGGAACTCGGTTTGGAACTGTAGCACAGGGTCGGCGAAGCAGACAGCGTCAATCATGGTTACCACCTTTTTCCACCTGCCCTGCTTGTCCCTGAAAGTAGGAGAACCAAGCGATGTCAATAGGAGAAAAAAGCCCGGCTTTACATGGTTGTCGGTTTCGTTAAGCTGATAGCCTACAGACTGACAACAACAATAACAACACGGTGAAAGACGATTTTTCTTGCATAAGCATTCCGTTTATATTAAAATCCGACGAAGCCTGGTTCATAAGGTGAGACCAGGTTGATTGGGTTGCAAGCGCAGACGGGCCAATAAGCGTCGTCAGCCACTGCACCCACGCCTACTTTGCCTCACCATCAACCAATTCAGGAGGAAGTCACCGGTGCTGCGCTCATTCCGTGGACTCCGTCACTTATTACATATACTTAGTATACTACTCGTGCTAAGCGAGTAGCCATATGTTATTACTATTTCGACTCCACCCGCTTTTCGCTCTTCGCTTGCAAGCCTGTAATTTAAGCATTTTTCCCTCATTTTCATTTTCAACCCCCGCATTTTAGCCACATTTTACCAATGCGCAGCTAAAATGCATTCGCCTATCTTTTTCTCAATAAACAGATAACAGCAAAATAAGACATAAAAGAACAACTGGCAACTTACGTGCAATGGACTACCTTGGGTATCCTCGATGAGGCAGGATGAGCTGACGCCGAAGAGAATTCAGCCCACCAACATTTCGCTGACGGAGAAGTCAGAAGGACTGTGTAGGCAACGGCTGTATATGCAATCTTCCAATTTGCACCTGGGAAAAGATGCTTCATATATCTCATTTGTACTACGACGATGTGGTGGTGGACCAGACCCGAATATTTGAACAATAAACGTTATTCCATTCTCAAATAACTTTGCTTGCTCACAATTATATTATCATTGGAGCTTCAGGTGACGAGCAACTCCAGCTACAAGCATTGTAAGTAGCGAGCGAGCCACTCGCAGACAATTTGTTTC